TGGACCCGCCCGCTCTTGCAGGTGCATGTCTGGTACACACGCTACGGTATGTACACGCCACGGCAATGCGGTGGTTGAAGGTACCTGCCTGTCCCACGCAACCACGCTATCCACGCTATCGATGCGGCCTTGGCACTGGGAACGACGAAATTTTTGCAGACCTGGAGACCATCTGGTGGGGCCGTCGGGAGCAAGCCGGCTCGGCGAAAGTGGCCTGGAGACTCGGTCGCAAGAAGGAGATTCGAGGGCGATAAGACGGTACCTCCGCCGCGAGCCTACACCTCGTAGAACGGCGGTCTTCCGGTCGCAATCGGGGCATGTTTCGAACTAGCCATGTGAGAAACCTCTGTACCATAATCCGATGCGAATTCCATGTTTTTGGGATGCAAAATCCGTCATACAAATTCACCATGCTGTAATCGTAGTTTAGGTCTGTGCAGGGCTTCGAGGTTTCTTCGCCAGCCTTACCTAAGTACCTTAGCCAATAACCATAACCGTAGCGCTCTTTCCAATGGACGGGAAGGCGGCCAAAAAAAATGCTTGCCGAATTTTCACCCCACAGCGGTTCCGTCCAGCGAAACCTCGTTTGGAAACCTTCACATTCCAACATCACGCCTGCATATCTCATCAGCCAGCTCATTCTCATCAGCCGCTCCAGCCCACTGAAGTAAACTCACGCAGAGAATTTGAACACTCAATTTTCTCAGCTGACAACATGGGTATTCCGGCTAAGCGCACAAAGACCAAGACGAGGAGATGGCTTCGGTAAGCCCTTTTTTCACACTGCTTATCCCCAATGGGCTCATGGACACCTGTTAACATGCTGCAACAGTTCCGTCGACCAGGTCAAGGAGGATATCCTCTCTCCCAGACATTTGGAGATTTACAAGGAGACCAAGGCCAATGAGGACCTGCCTGGCCTTGGACAGCACTATTGCATTGAGTGTGCAAAGTGGTTTGAGACAGACTACAGCCTCACAAAGCACAGCAAGGGCAAGCCCCACAAGAGGAGGTGAGCTTTATCTTTTTTGTCGCCATTATCGTACAATGATGGAGACTGATGTATCATTAGACTCAAGGATCTTGAGAATCCCTACACTCACAAGGACGCCGACGCCGCCGTTGGCCTCTGGACTGACAATGGCACTGGTCCTGAGAAGGCAAAGTCCCAAGAGATTGATATGATGGCATGAGCATGTTGTTATTCCTTTAATTGCGTGTGTTTCTTTTCATGGCGGAGAGGATATGGGTCACATTCTTGCATTGCAGCTATGCCCGGGTTCGGGCTGATAAAGGCAAAGGCGTTGATGCAAAATGAAGACCGGCGGCGTCTGGTTGGCTTTGGGTGAAAAAAAAATCTGGTACGAACGACATGTTGTGACTGCAACTGGTCGTCGATGGCTCCAACTTCTCGCCGAGGGCTTTTCTTGAACTAATGGCCGGGAGAGCAAAACAAAAAGGGGCAGCCCGAAGAGGGGGGAACTGGTTGACATTAACAGCCCGAGCCGCATTGGCCAGAGAGGCCCGCTTAGAGAGGTTTATACTGCTTCTACCTTAGCTGATGCAAGCCCTTCTGATACCCAAATACACAATTGACTACCTAACTTTGATAATTCAAGTAGGTAAACACCATTATGCCATGGCTGGAGGTTCAATCAGCTCCAGGCTGAATATGCTGTTAAAAGATTGACTCTGTGACCAGGCGCGTCTTAGCCTTAACCGACCCTTGCTTTTGCCCCACTCCAGCCTCAGCCTCGAACACTGTCGTTAATTGCTAGCGCAATTCAGCGTGCTGCATGCCGCGTGCCCAATGCCGACATACATTCTATGTTTCTTGCTACAAAGCCCTTACGAATCCGCAACTCCAATCTGCTGCGCTTGGCCATGGCAACTTCAGCATACGCGGCGCATCATGGCGCTGCAAATGGAATTCCTAAGGGGCCTAAGGGCGTCCCCAAGGGCCCCGCGAACGCGCATCACCACATCCACACCGTCACGGCGATTGGCAGATGGTCCATCACCAACAAGCAGCCTCCAGGTCAGTTCAATAAGGGCTCAAGACGTGGACCTTCCGCGCCGTTACCGGCCCATACTAACTTATATCTCCCATATCAGCTGCCGACAAGATCAAGACCATCCATGTCTATGACTTTGACAATACACGTAAGAACGAGCCCCTCGGCCATGTTGCCCCTCGATCGCACCTCCTCCGCTGACCTAATGATTTCCGGCGCAGTCTTCAAGACCCCTCTCCCCAACTCCAAAATCTGGAATGGCCCGACGATAGGGACCCTCGCGAACCCCGATGCCTTTGTCAATGGCGGATGGTGGCACGACTCCCGTATCCTAGCCGCCACGGGCGAAGGCCTAGTCAAGGAGGAGCCCAAGGCATGGGAAGGATGGTGGAACGAGAAGATTGTCGAGCTCATCCAGCTCAGTATGGAACAGAAAGATGCTCTCTGTATCCTATTGACGGGGCGCTCCGAGAGCGGCTTTGGTGACTTGATCAAACGCATGGTCGCGAGCAGGGGTCTCGAGTTCGACCTAATATCCCTGAAGCCCGCCGTCGGTCCCAGCAATCAGCGTTTCTCTAACACCATGCAGTTCAAGCAAATCTTCTTGGAGTCTGTGATGGAAACCTACAGATCTGCCGAGGAGATCCGCATATACGAGGACCGCCCAAAGCACGTCAAGGGTTTCCGCGACTTCTTGCTCAATTACAACAACAGGCAGAATGGTATAGGGGGGTCACCAACACGTGGACCTATCAATGCTGAGGTTGTCCAGGTGGCGGACATGGCCACTAACCTCGATCCTGTTGCTGAAGTGGCCGAAGTCCAGCATCTCATTAACGATCACAACGCCGCCCTCTCTCGCCGCCGGCGCGGCACCAGAGGCGAGCGATTGATCATCAAGAAGACAGTTTTCTATACAGGATACCTCATTAACAGCACTGACACGCAGCGGCTGCTCACTCTCGCGCAGATCCCGCACAATCTGCCAGACGCTGAACTAAAATACCACGCAAACAACATCATGATATGCCCACGACCATGCCCTCAGAGCATTCTGGAGAAGGTTGGCGGCATGGGTAGCAAGATGACGTGGGAGGTGACCGGGACAGCATGCTTCGAGAACAATATCTGGGCGGCTTGCCTGAAGCCTGTTCCGGCCACAGCAAAGTTCCACACAGACAACCCAAGTCCTCTCGTTGTTCTGGCGCTGCGCAAAGGCGCGCGGCCTGTGGATGCAGGTAAGATCCAGAACTGGCAGCCCGTGCCGCCGGACAAGGCCTTCACGTTCGAGACAGTAGTGGGGGAGAAGGTTCTTCTACGAATCGAGGCAGAAGATCCGACCGAAGGCGAGTATGAGAGCCTATTCCCGAACAAGGCATCCAAGAGGAGACATACAGGAGACGAAGACTTCCGTGCTCGTCAGGGCAACAACGGAAACTCGGGTGGGGGCGGCGGTGGTGGCAATGGCGGCGGCAACCGAAATGATCAGGGGCACCGTAATGAGCGAGGCAACTTCCACCAGTCTGGGGGCCACGCCGGTGGCGGTGGCCGCGGGGGTCAACATCAGGGAGGGCGCTTCCGCGGCGGAGCGAACTCGACGTCGAACCGTGGCTTCAGGGGCCAGGGACGGGGAGCCGCCAGGGGTCGTGGCGGCCGAGGTGGCGGTCATCACTACAAATCGCTCGACGATGTTGGAACACGGGAGAACCAGGGCGGGTTCGCACAGCAAGTGTCCTATGAGGACGATGGGCAGCGCAACTTCCAGCAGCCCCAACAGCAACAGCAACAGCAACAGCAACAGCAACAGCAACAGCAACAGCAGATCCAGCCACCCACACAGCCAGCCAGCTTTTACGCGCAGCAGCAACAGCCGCAATACCAGCAGTCATATCAGCAGCAGCAGCAACCACAGCAGCAACAGCAGTACGGCAACTGGCAGCCGCAGCAGCATAACAACAACAATAACAACAACAACAACAACAACAACAATATGCCCCAACAGCAGCAGCAGGGACGGCCGATGGGCGGTCCGGGCTATGGGCCAGGCGGACCGGAGCTGAACAACTTTTATTAGGAGAAAAAAAAGGAGCATATGTGTGTAATATTATCATACCCCTCAGGCGCTATCGGGCTTCATTTGTATGGGTTCAGGGGTGAAAAGGGGTTGGCGGTTAGTGGGTCAAAAGATAGGAGTTATGATATCGAGCCCTATGGAGTCCTTTGATGTTGTTTTTATCAGTGTGTGGTTATAACTATGCCATTTGCAAGTCCAAGCAGCTGCTTTAATATTATTAGTACGCCTAACCGGTTTATTATTACTTACCCTTCGAATGGGGCTAGATAGATAGGTAGTAGGAAACTGTTGTTGACACACGCAGAGGGCCATGAGGTGCTGGGGATATATCTGAACTCTTTCTAGTGTAGGCTGGTTATGTTGGCCAAGAGTGAAATGGGGGCAAATACTTGACTCTTGAGTTGACAGTATTACCGGGTTTTTTTAAAACTGGTCGGGTACTTACATGCTCGCGACCTGATATTCTGCATTGGTGGCGGTGCTGCTGCTGTTGATGTGTACCTATGCAAATGGCCCACTGAGTTAGGCATCTGCCCATAATCCACTGAAACTTGGGTCCGCTTTGGTGTTGCCGCGAAGTGACAGACATCCAATGGTCTCCGATACCTATCCAGGTTCGTACCTGAGTACTTTTGCCATGATTTGGGGCAACATAACTTGAACGAAGTCGAGAAAGACAATACAACGTGATCCTACCCAGTTATGTGGCAAGGAAGAGGAAATACAGCCGTTTGGATATACAACATGTGTTACTAAATGTATACTAAGTGTCCACCACAACCTTCGGCAGAAACCGAGGCCAACAAACGAGCGTTATGAAGCACCCGCCCCTCATTCCATCCACACCCGCCCGTCCTTCCCAACAGCCCCCAAAAGCAGCCATTAGCTCAAACCCTCTATGAACTACAAATGGCTATGTGGCCGAGTAGTTTAAGTCTGTTGGGTTCGCCTGCGCAGGTTCGAGTCCTGTCATAGTCGAGTTTCCCTTCTTTTTTTTTTCTTTTTTTTTAGGGGGGTGATATGTATTTGTGTTGCTGTTTTTATTAGTATTGGGGCCAATTTGTGAATATGTCCTGAGATGGCTGTGGATGGATGACATCTTCCTTTGCGCCGGGCGGACAGTTGCTAAATAGGTGTGATTTATGTTGTTTGTCCAGATATCCGTCCGAAGGTGAAAAGGGGATGTGTCAAAGAATGGGGTAGCTTAAGGGTAACCCCGACCTGGGGGTATGTGATATCACATTACAACTGGTTGTGTTAGTCCCTCGTTTCTGTTCTTTGGGTATTCAGATGGACTGGAACCTCTGTCTTAGAACAATGGGCCAATAGACGTACCAATCTATTGCAATGATGAATTAATTGCCCGTTTTAGATTGTTTCAACCGGGTCTGGATCGTTTCACGCTTGGAGGCACATGGCATATCTGGAGTGAGAACATGGTAGTGCCGTGTTCCGTGTTCATCAGAGCGACTGATGACTTCTATGTACATACAACCCCATCATTCGCTCAGAAGAAAAGACATCAATAAAAACAGAATCTCAAGCGCCAATGTACCCAGTTGAAACGTCAGGAAAGCCGCCATGCCCCCCAGCAACGGGCCATGGACAAAAGACTGACGCTGTGAGGGAACTCCCTAGTATTCGACATAAAGATGTTCGAATTCGCAAACCACAAAATCAAAGATGATACCTCCTCCAGACGCTGTTGTGATTATTGTACTCTTTAACGCATTTTCTTCCTAATGCATACTTCTCGATCTTCGTACGGACCCAGCCTTGCTTTTCCTATTTGACCTAATCACCTATCTACGAGAGCAAGCGCAATACCCATTTATTGACAACATAATCGCCTACGTATCGGATTGCGGTGATTGCTGGGAAAAGTATTAGCTGTGGCTTATCAAACTATAGGACTTCCTCTTACCTCTTGGCATGAGCCAGGACAGAGATGACGGAAACAGAAGCCAACAAATCACGAACGCAGCTACGTAGCCGGCAAGATAGAGACCGTTGATGCGGAATGCTTCTCTGGTGTGTTGACCCAATCGTGCAACAATTTCAGGTGCTAGACTACGATCTGGAGGCGTAATTCCCGGTTATTGACAGTCGTCGGGTCGACAGGGGGAATATCGACCATCGTCACCGGAGCCACCGGGGGAATATGGACGACCGCTGAAAGAGGCTGTGTCCTCGAGGTGCTGTATAAGTTGGCTGACATCCTCGAATTGTGCTCGTATTTCGGCTAACAATTGCTCGTCTTGCTCATTTTGCTCTCGTAGCTTGGCTAACAATTGCTCGTCTTGCTCGATTTGCTGTCGTAAATTGGTTTGCCCTCGCTCGGGAGGAGCTGTGCCTTCAGACCGCTGTATAAATTGATTGACTTGCTCGATTTGTCTTTGTAGTTTGGCTAGGTTTTGTACGGCTTGATTATTTTGGTTTCGTAGCTTGGCTTCTAAGTGCTTGCCTAGCTCGAGTTGCTTTAGTCTCCTGGCTTGCCTTCGGTCGGCTTGCTCGATTAGCGCTTGTAGTTCGGCTGACAATAGCTCCTCTTCCCCGAGTTCCTCTCGTCTTTTGTCTCGCCTTTGCTCGTTCTGCTCTATTCGCTCTTGTAGTTCGGCTAGCTCTCGCTCGGCTTGCTCGAGTTGCTCTCGAAGCTTGGCTTGCAGTTGCTGGAATTTCTCCATTTGCTTTCGAAGCTTGGCTTGCAGTTGCTGGAATTTCTCCATTTGCTCTTGCAGATCGCCGTGATAGCTGCAGATGTAATGACTGGGCACGGATCTCGAAGCTGGGGATTGTGGACTGGAGCCGAGTCGGTAGGCTTGATTGGGAGGTGGTCCGTCGAATATATGCGTTACTATTTTGGAGTAATACTTTGAGAAAGCTGGCACGTTGTACGGGTTGAAAAGAATAGTATGGGAGAGGAAAAAAAGCTATGAGGTGAGGGGAAGGTTTTCCTTTGTACTCGCTGGAGATATCGGTCGATGTCGGTCGATGCTGCTCTATCGTTCTTGCTACCCAAGCTCCCATCTTCACCCTCACTTCGGTTGCCAATGGGGAGTGCGTTTTGACGTCCGCACCTGACTAGAATATTGTACCTTGATAGAAGTTTGTACCATGCTCATGTTAGGAAAGAATTAAAGACCATGTGACTCTTTCTTGCCCTTCATGGGACAATGAGAGCTTCATGATCTGATAAACGCAGTCTCTCAGCAATCAGTTTGTTACTGATTTAGTAGCAATGTGCGCAGTTCATAGAATAAGCCCACAAACAAAATCATAAACAAAACAGCTGCAGAACTATTAATACATATTGCCCTGTCCGTCTGTTCGCGTCCATTCTGCTAGTCATCGGGATAATACTCCACTATGTTGGATATAAACCTGCAGGTGGAGCTGTCAAAGCGCTTGAAGAACTTGCCCGCCATATACAAAAGAGTATCAGGAATGAGGCTGGGGTCTGTGATGATTTCGATATTATCTTGAGCAACGCGAAGACGATCAACCGTTGCCGTTGGTCGTCTAGGGCAATATACTGTTAGCACGCTACTGTGTTTTCAAAGGGGTTGGGGGGTCGGGGACTCTTACAGGCAAGTATAGTATGTCTTGGCCTGCCTGCGAATGATGTCGCCGGCCGAGTTGTGCTCGATAATAACTTCCTCTTCCGCCTCTTCGGTGAGATAATGTGGGTTTGGAAGTGCTGTGGTCCCTGTTGCGGTCCAGCCATTGATAATACCAATGTAATCGTATCTCTTATGGCGGAAAACCTGGCCAATCTTGTACAAGACACGTCTATTGATGTCTTCGGTGTAACGGCGGTTGACCGTCGGTCTTCTGTTGTCCAGATTGTGAAGCATATTGAGAATTTCGCGGACATTCTCCCACCCAACCCGGGCCCGTATGCGAGGCTGTGAGGCAATAAAGCTATCATATAACGGGATGAGATATTTCTCAACTATCCAGAAATCTTCACTCCAAGAAAGGGCAAATTTGTTCAAGAATGAATCAAGATTGTTGTCCCAATGATGGCTGGATGTCTGTTTCATCAGAAGCTCAGCCCACATGGAGGCATATACCGCAGCCTGCATGTTCAACTCGGGATGGCTAGTTCGTAGACGCGTTGAGGCATCGCCATCTGGGAGGTTCTGAGAACTGGAATATGCAGCCCTGATATTCTGCGCCGTCCTTTGCACAATGATTGGTACAGGCGAAGACGTTAGGAAGGCCTCTGCCCCTTGGGTCCATCCGAATTCCACAAGCCGTAGGCGTAGATCGCTAATGGTGACCTCGTCATCTGATCCATACGGATCCAGGTACATTCTCTGAAGCTCCTCGTTTGGGTTTTCCTCTTCGGTTCCATCCAGAGTCATACCAGGCGGCGCAATGACCGATGAGTGGACGTGACTGGGGAACGCGCAACACGAGGTTGTCAAGCCCAGCCTTTCTGCCACACAGCAGAATATGGCGGCTGAGATTATAGGAAGAGATGGATGCTGGTCCTCGGAGAGGGCGTGGCCGATAAGACAGTTCCTCAAGTTACGATAGTTGAGGCTCGGAGCGTCCATACCTGTAAGATTCTTGGCTCTCAGCCAGCGCACCAAGTTCAGAGCTTTCTGCCTGGTGGACATGTCTTCCAATGTCGGGTTTTCGCTTTGGAATTGTGCAGCGAGGGCATCGAATGATGAAGAAATCTAGACAGAAATCAGCCAACTGCCCACCAGCTTCTTCCGAGTCCGATCTTGACTCACATATTCGAGATCATACGGCTGGTCGTGTAACACGAACATATCAAAGGCTCCCAGCGCGCGATCAAGGCCCCGGGAGCTCAAAGGGGCCCCTTGATATTGAGACCATACATCCACCGCGATGCCCCTGTGAATGCTGTCCAAGGCTGAGTTCGCGTAGTATCTGGCAGAAATGTTTCAGTATCTGGACGGTGACTGACAGGTATATAGCTCCCTCGGCAGGTTGCCATGCCTCAACTTTGAATCTCACGGCCAGCTTCGGTCTCGCTTCATTCTCAGATTGCGGAATACCTGTCTTTGACTTTCAAACTGCAGACATCCGCTTGGAATGGGACGCAACCGAATGGACAAGACAAGAAGTTGAACATGAATTATCGAGTGTGAACTTGAAGAAAATTGGGTCCTACCTCCTAGCCAAAACATCTTCTGCAGAGTCGTCACTTCGACATTGCTCCAGGAGGAAATCCTTCGCATCATATCCCAACAGGCAAATCTGTTGCAGCCTCCTCAATTGACCAACCTTGGAGGCGATAATACCGTCAAGATTACGGGAGGTCTGAACGTTTTTCCCCTTCCTCGCCATCCAGAGCCTTTTCCACTCAACCGAAGACGCCCGGGCTGCAAACTTCTCCTGAATTCGGTGGTCAGGGTGCCAGTATGTGAATGAGGTCTGACAATAGTACCTCCATAAAAGGGAGTCATTTGCGATGTGGTGAAACCGACTCGACAACAATTGGAAGGCTCTGAGATTATCCTCGGGAGATACATAGGAAAGGATGTGGCGGATGATCTCCTCTGGGACATCATTAAGAGAAGTCATGGCGTAGCTCGCACTCTCTTGGCTCTCTTATTCTCGTCTGAGGGTGTATCACGTAGCCACCGGTTCGCTGTTCTGCCAAAAACGGCTTGCTCCTACCGAAGGTGCCGTCGCGAGGGGGGAAAAGCACGGCAAAGACAAGGAGGAGTGAGAAGCGACAAGACACACAGGGCGGTTGGGGCGATTTTACGTTTTTGGAGGATTCCGAATGATGCCATGTGATGTATCGATCGGTGAGGTACCAGCCCAAGCGAGCAGGTGCAACGTACATCGCAGGGGCCTGGAGAGTCTTTCTGAATTATCACAGGGAGATTGCGATAAGAGAAAGGCCTGGGAGAGACATTCCAGGATGGGTGGATTGCAGATGGCAGATGGCCCCCCGTCTTGGCAGCCGCTACTTATGGAGGTACCTTGGGTAC